AAAAACATGCAGGGTGCCCCCCATAACATGCTAGCTGCGCAACTGGAGACATACGGGTTTGACAAATAGAATGTTATATGGTCTGAATTCAGGTCCACTATCTTTAGGCCTTATTTATCCCAGTGTAAATTATATCAGAATCGAACAACTCAGTGAAAAGAAATACATCCTGACAGAGTGTAATACTACTTTAAAAACCTTCTGCAGAAATACTTTTTTTTCGGTGGGTGGCTGCCGTTGCAGCCACAGTTACGGGCGCAGTCCGTGATCCTCTGGTTCCCGGGAGCGCGGACATCAAAAGGGTGCGATGGCGTCGCGGGGCCTCCGGGTGCCGCTGTTGGCCGACATGGAGCGGCGGCAGAGCCGAAGCCGCTGCAGCGGCATGCATGCAGAGAGACTGCTCGTTCACCCGGAGCCGGCCGCAGCGGAAGCGGCACGGGCAGCATAGGCGAGAGGCGCCGCTGGGAGCAGCGACATCCGAGCCAGCGCCCAGTTCCCTGCCCTCCAGCAGCCCCTGCGCTCCTTTCGGAGAGCATCTGGAATCGAGGGAAGAGCGCGGCAAGCGCTGCCGGCAATGGCGGGCAGGCAGAGGCAGAGCCGGGGACCTGCAGACGGGCGAGTGCTGCTGCCCGCTTTGCTGCTGTGCTGGTGCTGCCGGGCGGTGTCGGAGCGGCTCCACTATGCCATCCCCGAGGAGCTGGACAGAGGCTCCCTGGTGGGGCCGCTGGCGCGGGACCTCGGGCTGAGCCCGGCAGAATTGCCGGCACGCAAGCTGCGGCTGAGCGCCGCGAAGCAATACTTTACCGTGAACGGGGAGAACGGGAACCTGTACGTGAGCGAGAGACTGGACCGGGAGGAGATGTGCGGCGAGTCAGAGTCTTGTTCTGTCAGCTTCGAGGTGCTAATGCATAACCCGCTCAACGTTTTCCACGTCGAAGTGGCCATCCAGGATGTAAATGATAACTCCCCGAGGTTTCCACAAGACAGTTTCCACCTGGAGATCAACGAGTTCACTTCCACTGGCTCCCGGTTTCCCTTGGTCATGGCGGAAGACGCAGACGTGGGCAGTAACTCGCTGCAGGGTTATGAACTGGAGACCAACGGCTACTTCGCGGTGGAGGTGAAGGAGAGCCCGGACGGCAGCAAGTTCGCGGAGCTGGTGCTGCGCCAGGCGCTTGACCGGGAGAAAGATCAGAGCCTGCGGCTGGTGCTGACGGCGCTGGACGGCGGGGACCCGCCCCGGAGCAGCACCGCCCAGCTCTGTATCAACGTTACGGACGCCAACGACAACGCCCCCGTGTTCGCGCAGGAGCGGTACCGAGTGAGCTTGCGGGAGAACGCGCCGCCGGGATCGACAGTGGTGAACGTGTCCGCCTCCGATGCCGACGCCGGCAACAACGGCCGCGTCAACTACGGGTTCTATAAAATGCCGCCTAAGGTTCTTCAGAAGTTCATGGTGGATGCGGAGAGCGGAAGGATCACGCTGCAGGAGGCGCTGGACTTTGAGGATACGCGTGGGTACACGCTGCTAATGGAAGCGAGGGACGGGGGCGGTCTGGTAGCGCACTGCAAGGTGGAGGTGGAGGTGCTGGACGTGAACGACAACACGCCCGAAATCACGGTGCTGTCGGTGTCGAGCCAAGTACCCGAGGACGCACCGGCCGGAACGGTGGTGGCTCTGCTAAACGTGCAGGATCCAGACTCTGGCGAGAACGGTCAGGTGTGGTGCGAGCTGTCGGGCGAGGCGCCGCTGTCGCTCGTGGCGTCGTCGGGCGGGTCGTACAAGGTGGTGACGGCGAGCGCGCTGGACCGGGAGCAGGAGTCCGAGCACCGGGTGACGGTGGTGGCGAGGGACCGGGGCAGCCCGGCGCTCTCGAGCAGCACGGTGCTGGTGCTGGAGGTGTCGGACGTGAACGACAACGCGCCGGTGTTCGAGGAGGCCGCCTACAGCGCCTACGTGGCGGAGAACAACGCGGCGGGCGAGCTGGTGCTGCACGTGAGGGCGCGGGACGCGGACGCTGGCAGCAACGGGCGCGTGAGGTACTCGTTGGAGGGCGGCAGCGCGGGCGCGGCGCCGTACGTGTCGGTGGAGGCGCAGAGCGGCGCAATGTACGCGCAGCGCTCCTTCGACTACGAGCAGTGCCGAGAGTTCGCGGTGGTGGTGCGGGCGCAGGATGGCGGGGAACCGGCGCTGAGCTCGACGGCGACGGTGCGCGTCTTCGTGTTGGACCGCAACGACAACGCGCCGCGGGTGCTGTGGCCAGCGGCGGCGGGCGCAGGGGCAGACGCGGGATTGGCCGCGGGCCCGGGCCCGTTCGAGATGGTGCCTCGGTCGGCCGAGGCCGGGTACCTGGTGGCCAAGGTGGTGGCGGTGGACGCGGATGCGGGGCGCAACGCCTGGCTGTCGTACGAGCTGGTGCAGGCGCCGGAACCGGCGCTGTTCCGCGTGGGGCTGCACAGCGGCGAGGTGCGCACGGCGCGGGCCGTGTCGGACAGGGACGCGGCGAAGCAGCGGCTCGTGGCCGTGGTGAAGGACCACGGGCAGCCGGCGCTGTCGGCCACGGCCACGCTGCACGTGGTGCTGGCCGAGAGCTTGCAGGAGGCGCTGCCGGAGCTGAGCGAGCGGGCGGCGAGCGCCGACTCGGCGGCGGAGCTGCAGTTCTCCCTCGTGCTGGCGTTGGCTCTCCTGTCCGCGCTCTTCCTGCTGAGCGTGGCGCTGGCCGTGCTAGCAAGGGGCCGCCGTTCCGGGCCGCCCGCCGTGCTGCGCTGTCTGGGCGCTCAGCGCTTCTCCGGGGCAGGCGCCGCTTTCCCTGCCGACTTCTGCGAGGGCACCTTGCCCTACTCCTACAACCTGTGCGTGGCGCCGGGACGTGCTGTCGCCGAGGCTGCTTGGCCGCCGCCGCCTCCTCCTTGCCTGTCCGGGAAGGAGCTTTTCGGCTGCGATCCCTGCAGCAGTGCTATCACCGGAGAACCTCCCGCGGAGCCCAACGGACAACAGGTCTGTAAACCTTCTCTTCGGTCCTTTTCTGAACAGGGGCTTTGCTGTTACTCTTTGCGGCTCTGCTGGGCCTGTAGTTTGTGCTTGTGTGTGTTTCCAGGAACGTGTGAAATAATCTTACGGTCTAACAGTAGGCACTCAAACGGCACACAAGCCCCCGATTTGTGTGGCGTAGCTCAAAGTTATAATGCGCACTGCTTATTATGCTGGACGTTTAGAAAGCAATTTCAGTTCGTAGCAGGAAGTGATGACCCTTGTTGGTTCATCACGCGTTTAGGAATTTTTTTCTATATATTCCGTAAAAAGTGATATTAGTTCTGGTTATTAGGAACGCTTTATGTGCTGTAGAAGATTCTTTTGTCCTTCTGAAGCTCCGTGATTTTTCTCCTGGGCTTCCTCGAGCGAGGGCGTTGGAAGTGCTGGTCTCTGTGTGTACATGAAGGCATGAAAGGTTTAACTCCCATTCAGAGCATGCAGCTAGTGGCAGCACTTTCTGGCATATCAGAAGTCGGAAATTCAGGTTCAAATTTTTGGCACAAACCTTGTGGTATAACGAGTCAGCAATGGTGAAGGCGAATCCTGAACAGAGTAATTTTGTGATGAGGGAAATGGGGTGGATGCTCGGTAATGGAAATTTCTCCTTCCTGATTGCTTTTTCCCAAAGAGACGGAGTTGGTACTGGTTTAACCTGAAAATAATCCCCTTGGTTACTATGTTGTGTTGGACTAAATCTAAAAATGGAGAAGTGGCAGATTATTTTCCCGCCCGTCATCTGCCCTCCCGTCTAAGGGAAGGTCGCTGCAGAAATAGTTGCATGACGGGTTTGACTAAATCGAGGACTTGGGAATCTGTCACTTTTTACATTACCTGTTTCGTTTGCGTATTTCACCTGGAGAGGTCTCTACCCATCCCGAGAATGCAGCTACCCCCAGAACACAAAATGGCAGCAATTAAACAGTCGAATAAAGCCTTTGTAGGTTTAGATGATCAGTGTAGTTTAGGGTGTGCAGCTGTAATTTCCTATGGTATCGAAGTGTCCTATCAGCATGAAGAGTCGTCCTATCAGCATGGAGTCAAGGATTAGCTGAATACACAAATACGTTACACCGCGATTTCTGGGAAAACTACATTTTTAAGCTATCGAATTACTTGATAAACGTGAATATGTGAAACTATAAATACGCTATTTTTCTGTGCGTTCCTAAAGAGGAAATTGATGCTCAATATTTTCCGTAGGGACAAGTATTTAAAGGAAATCCCCAGGCGCATGTGCTAATGAACTGCTGGGTCTCGAGCAAGTGAGAAGCTTGTGTGTCTGATTATTGCGTTTTGGATCTCAGAGCCTGTTTTCTATTGTTTTGTATTAGTAACTCGAGAACGACAGCTTAAAATTTGATGCATTTGGACTTATAGGATGAGACTAAGTATATGCTACACGTTTAAGTACCATTTTACTTTCAATATACCATCATGACCGCCATGTTCCAGGCGGTAGAAAGTCCAGGAGCACAGGAGGAATTTGGTTTCCTCCTGGTTGGGTTCGCAGCGAAAATCGAGTAGCTAGGATCCGATGGCTGCTCCTTGTCGCCTGTTCCTCCCCCGAGAGCTTGTCCTGCGCAGGGCCGGGGGGGGGGCATACCTCGATGCGTGCAGTTCCGTAAGGAGGCTGCGGGCGCCGCTGTTGACTGAGAAGGAGCGAGAGAAGGCAGGAGCGATGCAGGCAGCCCCGCCCGCTGCGGCCGGCCTCGCTCGCTGGCTGTCTCAGCGGCAGAGGGTTTGCTAGCATCCCCTACAGCGAGGCGGAGGGGTCGGCGGAAGCCCCTGGCAGAGGCGATTCTGGAGGGGAGACGGAGCACAAGCCGGAGGAGGAGAAGGAGCCAGAAAAGCGGTTGGCGCTGGTGAGCTGTCTACAGTGGTACGGTACTGGCGGTGCCGCGCGGAGATGAGCACGGGGGGAAGGTGCTGGAGCCGGCGGGAGGGAGTGCTGCTGTGGACCGTCCTGATGGCGGCGTGGGACGGGGCTTGGGGGCAGCTGCGCTACTCGGTTCCCGAGGAGCTGCCCAAGGGCTCGTTCGTGGGCGACGTCACCAAGGACCTAGGGCTTGAGATGCCCGCGATCAGCGAGCGCGGCGTCCGCCTCTTGGACAGAGGTAGAACGCAGTATTTCGCGCTGCACAGGAAGACGGGACAACTGATGACGGCGGAGAGGATAGACAGAGAGCAGCTGTGTGAGAGTGAGCGACAATGCGTGCTACGATGTGAGGTGATCGTGGAGGGAAAAATGCAGGTCTACAAAATCGAAGTGGAGATCACGGATGTAAATGACAACGCACCCAGCTTCAATGACATGGAGCTGGAAGAGAGGATAAGCGAATCGACACCCCCGGGGTCACGATTTCCCTTGCCTGAGGCTCAAGACCCGGACACGGGCCCGAATTCCCTGCAGCGCTACGAGCTGAGCGGCGATGAGCACTTCTCGCTGGCCGTGCAGGCGGGCCCCGGAGGGGATCAGCGTCCCGAGCTGGTGCTGGAGAAGGCGCTGGACCGGGAAGAGACGGCGTTTTACGAGCTGGTGCTGAGGGCGAGCGACGGCGGAGAGCCTGCGCAAACGGGCACGGCGCGGATCTGCGTGACAGTGCTTGACTCCAACGACAACGCGCCCGTGTTCAGCCAGGCGGAGTACACGGTGCGTGCGGCCGAGGACGTTCCCGTGGGTTCCCTCCTCGTCACCCTCACGGCCTCCGACGCCGATGAGGGTCTGAACGGGCACGTGAAATACTCATTGAAGAAAATCAAAGAGAAAGCCTCGCGTATTTTTGAGCTTGACGCTGAAACGGGAGCGCTCACATTAGCGCGAAATTTGGATTTCGAGGAAGGCGACTTCTACGAAATGCAAGTACAGGCAAGGGACGGCGGGGGCCTTTCTGACACGACGAAAGTAGCAATCACTGTGACAGACGTCAACGATAACGCGCCCGAACTATCGCTGTCGTCAGCTTTAAGGGATATCTCTGAGGACGCGGTGCCGGGAACGGTAGTGGCCCTGCTGCATGTGCACGACCGGGACTCGGGAGCGAACGGCCAGGTGAGGTGCAGCATCACCGATGGCCTCCCGTTCCGCCTGGAGAAACCCTTTGAGGATTATTACCGCATAGTGACGGCGGAGGGGCTGGACCGCGAGAAGGTGTCGAAGTACAACGTGACCGTGCGGGCGGTGGACGGCGGGTCTCCGGCGCTGCAGAGCAGCGCGGTGTTGGCACTGCGGGTGCTGGACGTGAACGACAACGCGCCGGTGTTCGCGGAGCCGCGCTACAGCGCCCGGCTGGCAGAGAACAACGCGGCGGGAGCGCTGGTGCTGACGGTGCGGGCTTCGGACGAGGACTGGGGGCAGAACGCGCGCGTGCGGTACCGGCTGTCGGAGGGGCGGGTGAGGGGCGCGCCGCTCTCGTCCTACGTGTCGGTGCAGGCGGAGACGGGCGCGCTGTACGCGCTGCGCTCGTTCGACTACGAGGAGGTGCGCGAGGTGCGGCTGTGGGTGTGGGCGGAGGACGGCGGCTTGCCGGCGCTGAGCAGCAACGCGTCGGTGGTGCTGGAGATCGTGGACGAGAACGACAACGCGCCGCAGGTGCTGTACCCGCCGGCGGCGGCGCCTTCGGCGGCGGTGTCGGGCTGGGCGGGCGTGGAGCTGGCGCCGCGGTCGGCGGAGCCCGGGGCGCTGGTGGCCAAGGTGGTGGCGGTGGACGCGGACGCGGGGCAGAACGCGTGGCTGTCGTACGAGCTGGCCAAGGCGACGGAGCCGGGGCTGTTCCGCGTGGGGCTGCACAGCGGCGAGGTGCGCACGGCGCGCTTCCCGCTGGCCCGCGACGCGGCGCGCCAGAGCCTGGTGGTGGTGGTGAAGGACCACGGGCGGCCGGCGCTGTCGGCCACGGCCACGCTCACGGTGGTGCTGGCCGAGAGCGTGGCCGAGCTGCTCTCGGAGCTGGGCAGCGCGGCGGCGGCGGTGCCGGGCGAGACGGCCGCCAGCCTCACGCGCTGGCTGGTGCTGGCCGTGGCGGCCGTGTCCTGCCTCTTCCTCGCCTTCCTGCTGCTGCTGCTGGCGTTCCGCCTGCGGCACTGGCGCCGCTCGCAGCTGCTGGCGACGTCGGGCAGCGCCTCCTTGCGCCGCGTCCCGGCCTCGCAGTTTGTGGGCATCGACGGCGTCCGCGCCTTCCTGCACTCCTACTCGCACGAGGTGTCTCTCACCGCTGACTCTCGCAAGAGCCATCTCCGCTTGTCCTCAGGCAGCTGCTGCGACACCCTCCCGGCCCGTCCGCCTCCCGACGAGCCCGCGCCGCTGCTCGGGGAGGACGTTGCGGACTCCCGCTGCTCTGACCTCGCCGCTCCCACGGTGAGTTTCTCACAGGAGCCTTTCTCCGTGCCTCTTCCCCATGTTGCCTCTGCCCTCTGACGGGTTCCGTGTTCCTCGGGGGGAGCTGTATGATCGAGAAAGGCTAAGTTGGTTGCCGCCCCGTGGTGGGGTGCTGCTGCCTCTTTCCTCGGGAGGGCACCTTGGGGTGTTTGCTCAGGTTTCTCGCTGGAGGCAGGAGAGGCGTTGTTGCCGCCAGCAGGACTTACGTTTGTTCTGGGACTTTCTTGCTTTGCCACATCTTTGTGTTCTACGCTGTTGTGACCCACTCTGTAGGTTAGCGCCTGGTTTTTAAACCTTTTCTGAGGTGGCATCAGACTACGTGTCTTCAACTTGTTAGAGATGTAAAGATGTGGGAACTGTGCCCAACCATAGTATCTTCCATTGTTTCATCTCATGGAATTTTTGCTAAAAGGTTATTCAGGTTGTATGGGGAGCCCTGGGAGGTTCTTCATGTGTATTTGCAGGTTGTGACAGAAATGCATCAGGGGTTGCTTTGGGAGAAGTCAGCTGATTATTCATTCCCTGAATTGCTCTAGAAACCATTATCAAGAATATATCATTTTGTTTTTCGAATTTTTTCTTGGTCATTGTACTCGCCTGAACATGGGCCACTGCTTTTATAGTATGTGGAAATTACTTCTGGTATATCTTTCTGTAGGTACCATATGTCCCTTTCATGTTTAGAGCTGTAAAGCTGTGTGAGATCTGTTACTGCTGCATTCCTGTCTGGCATATGCTTTTCATGTTCATCGCAGTAATCTTTCGTAGACTTTTTTTAAAATTTCATTTGAAGAAATGTGCTTAATTCTCACAAATGAGAAAAATATCCATGATGAGACATTCTCTGTGTAGCTTCTGTGGACTCTGCAGTTGATGAAAATCAGTAACAATGCAAGCTGAGAAAGGTTTGTGGAGAGTCTCAATGCTGTGTGTATGGTGTAGTGGTGGAGATTGACGTGGTTCCCAGGGCTTATCACTGGCTTTCAGAACATTATTCTGAAGGTGTGGGTTTTTTTATATTGCCTTGTGTTTCATTTTACCTCTTTTTTTATTGTCCAGAGTAATTGTCTGAAGGGAATGTGGCTATGGTCTGCGTTGTGAGGTCCTGTTGTCTTTTTGCCAAACAGATCTCCCTTTTACGTAGCTGCTACCAATGACATACTGAAATGTTAAGCTATGATTCCTTCACTTTTGCATCATAGTTTAACATTGGTTCCCCATTCTTGCCTTGTTTGTTGTCCAGGTATAAAGCTAGGCCTCATTGTCCCTTCTAACCCTTAAAACATCTCTTACATCTGTTGATCTGAGGCGTTTCCATCTATAAAAGTTTTCAGCTGCCAAGACTGATACACCCAATTTCTGTGTCATACGTTTTCAAGTCTGGCTGACAGGTGCACATAATGTCAATGGTGCAAATAAAGGCTATAAATGCAGAGCAAGGAGGGTGAGAGGCTGGCTTGAAATCAAGAAAATATGTGGGTGAACACAGCTTTCCTTGGGCAATGGCTGGATTTCCTACCTGGTGACAAGGCCTGTGCCATAATTTTTGTGGTCTTTTTTTTCCCTGTCCTGAAAGGCAATGGTAGAGCATCTACACCATAAATCAGCATGTAGAAGGATGATGCAGGTGTAGAATGCCTTATAAATCTTGTGGGAAACCTTTATCCAAGTTGTGTCTCCTTGTAACATTATCCAAGTTGTGTCTACTTGTAACATTACAGTGCAGTCGCAGAGCTCGACATTACACTGCAGAGTTCCTACACGGCTGTAGTTAACACTACTTTCAGGCCATTGTTTCTTCGAAGGTCGTGTTTCTTCCCCGTTTTGGTCAGTTTTAGCATTTGAGTGTGCTTGGTTTGCAACAAATACTACAGCCATCTAAGAATTGTAGGTGTGAGCAGAATGAAGCAGAAGGTAGAAGAGAATCGTATTACTGAATACTGAGCTGGGAAAAGACCATGAGAAGGCCTTTATTCTTGCTGCTTCATATTTTTGAAGGGATGATCAAGCCACAATAGAAAATTGCTGAGAGCTTGTAACAACTTGCTGTTTTGTAGTGCACTTTGTCATAGAGATAGAAATAACTTCCAGGTGCTTCCAGGGATGACTATCAATGCCTACTGTGAGAAGCAAGGAGAATTCCAGGTATGAATTGTTTTCTAATGCTTCTTTGCCTTGTCTGATTTATGGGTTTGCAACTATACATGATGGGGTCAGGAAAATGTGATGCTAGGTGCTTGAGATTTTTCCTTCCTAATTTCCTGAAACAATGGACTCTCGGTGACTGGTTAATGCTGTTTTGGTGTTGCACTCAAGGAAACCTGCATGAGGCTGATGGAGATTTTTCCACACTAATGAATGTTCATCCCATCAGCCTTGTGCCATCATGCCTTTTGGTGAAAGGCAACTGCAGAAACGGCAGCAATAGGGAAATGGCTCAGTTTTCTCTGAGGTTGATTTCCTTATTCTCTGTTTATTCAGTTTGTCTTCCATGCTGGGTAGCAGTTCTTCCTTACAGTTCATCTGTCTTTTCTACAGCTGTGTAGAATGGGATCTAAGCCAGCCTTCTAAGCTAAAACTATTGCCAAGGGCTGGTGACTTTCTTTTCTAGCACTTCCTTCGCTTGCTTTATGCAATTTATGGTTTTGGTTTTCTCAGTGTACAGCTTTAGTTGTAATTACCAACATTTACTTTGTTAGTGCAGAGTGGCATACATGGCAGCCAGTGTTTCCAGTGAACACGTGCAGGGTGTCGCCCGTAACATGTTGGCAAGTCAGTTGGAGACATATGGGGTTAAGTGAATTGTTAGGTGGTCTGAGTTACTCAGACCCTAACTTTAGGCCTTCTTCTTCAGTTAATCTTTATTCTAAGTCATAATCGAACCTGAGCAGAGTGAAAACCCACCCTGAGTGTAATACAACTTTGTCTTCTGTGGCAACAGAAATCCGTTTTCGGTGGGTGGCTGCCGTTGCTGCCATAATCACAAAAGCAGCCCCAGATCCTCTGGACCCCGGGAGCGCAGCCATTACCCAGCTGCGGTGGCGCCGCGAGGCCTCCGGGTGCCGCTGTTGGCCTACGCGAAGCGGCGGGGAAGGTAAAGCTGCAGCCGGAGCCGCTGCAGCGTCCTGCCCCCGCAGGCTGCTCGCTCACCCGCCGCCGGCCAGAAGGGCAGCGGCACGGGCAACATAGGCGAGAGGCGGAGGGAGAAGCAGCGGCGTCAGAGCCGGAGCCGATCTCTCTGCCCATCTGCAGCCCCTGCGCTCTCTGTAGAGAGGGGCTGGAAGAGACGGAAGGCAGCGGCCGGAGGGAAGAGCGCGGCGAGCGCTGCCGATAATGGAGAGCAGGCAGAGGCAGGGGCAGAGCCGGCGGCCAGCAGCCGGGCGAGTGTTGCTGCCCTCTCTGCTGCTGTGCTGGTGCTGCCGGGCGGCGCCGGAGCGGCTCCACTATGCCATCCCTGAGGAGCTGGACAGAGGCTCCCTGGTAGGGCCGCTGGCACGGGACCTCGGGCTGAGCCCGGAAGAGTTGCCGGAACGCAAGCTGCGGCTGAGCGCCGCGAAGCAATACTTTACCGTGAGCGGGGAGAACGGGAACCTGTACGTGAGCGAGAGACTGGACCGGGAGGAGATGTGCGGCGAGTCGGCGTCCTGCTCTGTCAGCTTCGAGGCGCTAGTGCATAACCCACTTAACGTTTTCCACGTGGATGTGGCCATCCAGGATGTAAATGATAACTCCCCGAGGTTTCCACAAGACAGTTTCCACCTGGAGATCAATGAGCTCACTTCAGTCGGCGCCCGCTTTGTCTTGGGTATGGCAGAAGACGCAGACGTGGGCAGTAACTCGCTGCAGGGTTATGAGCTGGAAGCCAACGAGTATTTCGCGGTGGAGGTGAAGGAGAGCCCGGACGGCAGCAAGTTCGCGGAGCTGGTGCTGCTTCGGGCGCTGGATCGGGAGAGAGAACAGAGCCTGCGGTTGGTGCTGACGGCGGTGGACGGCGGGGACCCGCCCCGGAGCGGCACCGCCCAGCTCTGCATCAACGTCACCGATATCAACGACAACGCCCCCGTGTTCGCGCAGGAGCGGTATCGAGTGAGCGTGCGGGAGGATGCACTGCCGGGATCGACAGTGGTGAACGTGTCCGCCTCCGATGCCGACGCTGGCATCAACGCCCGCATCACGTACGGCTTTGGGAAAATGCCGCCTAAGGTGCTTCAGAAGTTCATGGTGGACGCAGAGAGCGGAAGGATCACGCTGCAAGAGGCGCTGGACTTCGATGACACGCGTGGCTACACGCTGCTGGTGGAGGCAAGGGACGGGGGCGGTCTGGTAGCGCACTGCAAGGTGGAGGTGGAGGTGCTGGACGTGAACGACAACACGCCCGAAATCACGGTGCTGTCGGTGTCGAGCCCGGTACCCGAGGACGCACCGGCCGGAACGGTGGTGGCCCTGCTGAACGTGAAAGACCCGGATTCTGGGGAGAACGGTCAGGTGTGGTGCGAGCTGTCGGGCGAGGCGCCGCTGTCGCTCGTGGCGTCGTCGGGCGGGTCGTACAAGGTGGTGACGGCGAGCGCGCTGGACCGGGAGCAGAAGTCCGAGCACCGGGTGACGGTGGTGGCGAGGGACCGGGGCAGCCCGGCGCTCTCGAGCAGCACGGTGCTGGTGCTGGAGGTGTCGGACGTGAACGACAACGCGCCGGTGTTCGAGGAGGCCGCCTACAGCGCCTACGTGGCGGAGAACAACGCGGCGGGTGCGCTGGTGCTGCACGTGAGGGCGCGGGACGCGGACGCTGGCAGCAACGGGCGCGTGAGGTACTCGATGGAAGGCGGCAGCGCGGGCGCGGCGCCGTACGTGTCGGTGGAGGCGCAGAGCGGCGCAATGTACGCGCAGCGCTCCTTCGACTACGAGCAGTGCCGAGAGTTCGCGGTGGTGGTGCGGGCGCAGGATGGCGGGGAACCGGCGCGGAGCTCGACGGCGACGGTGCGCGTCTTCGTGTTGGACCGCAACGACAACGCGCCGCGGGTGCTGTGGCCAGCGGCGGCGGGTGCAGGGGCAGACGCGGGATTGGCCGCGGGCCCGAGCCCGTTCGAGATGGTGCCTCGGTCGGCTGAGGCCGGGTACCTGGTGGCCAAGGTGGTGGCGGTGGACGCGGATGCGGGGCGCAACGCCTGGCTGTCGTACGAGCTGGTGCAGGTGACGGAACCGGCGCTGTTCCGCGTGGGGCTGCACAGCGGCGAGGTGCGCACGGCGCGGGCCGTGTCGGACAGGGACGCGGCGAAGCAGCGGCTCGTGGCCGTGGTGAAGGACCACGGGCAGCCGGCGCTGTCGGCCACGGCCACGCTGCACGTGGTGCTGGCCGAGAGCTTGCAGGAGGCGCTGCCGGAGCTGAGCGAGCGGTCGGCGGGCGCCGACTCGGCGGCGGAGCTGCAGTTCTCCCTCGTGCTGGCGTTGGCTCTCCTGTCCGCGCTCTTCCTGCTGAGCGTAGCGCTGGCCGTGCTGGCAAGGGGCCGCCGTTCCGGACAGCCCGCCGTGCTGCGCTGCCTGGGCGCGCAACGCTTCTCCGTGGCCGGCGCCGCTTTCCCAGCCGACTTCTGCGAGGGCACCTTGCCCTACTCCTACAACCTCTGCGCGGCGCCTGGACGCTCCGTCGCCGAGGGTGCTTGGCCGCCGCTGCCTGTGCCCAGCCTCCCCGCCGAGGAGCTTCTCTGTGGGGAGCCCTGCGCGGAGAGGAGCCTGACTAGTATTGACGGCGCTGGAAAGCTGCCAGCGGAGCCCAACGCGCCGCAGGTCTGTAACCCCTGATTTACTTGTCTGGGACCCTTTCCAAACGTTTTGCTTTTGCTGTTGCTTTGTTGGTCTCCTGGGGCTGGGGTCGTGCTGGTCTCGGTTTCCAGGAACGTCACTTTGCAGTAAGAACTGCGAGTCATTCCTTGATGGGTCAACTGCTGTTTATGCTGGACATTCAGAAAGCAAGACTTACCCCTGTTCAGCACACTTTTTCAGTTCAGATTTTTTTTTCAATATAAATTCCGTAAGAAGTATACATTAGTTCTGGTTATCAAGAACTATGTGCTTCGGAAGATCCTTGGGTCTTTCTGAAGCTCCGTCGTTTTTCTTCTGGATTTTCATGGGTGAGGGAATGGGAACTGATGATTTCTGTGTGCATGAAGGGGTAACTCCCATTCAGAGCAGGCAGCGAGCGGCAGCTCTTTCTGGCTCATCAGATGTCGGAAATTCAGGTTCAAGTGATTTTTTTTTTTACCACAAACCTTGTCAGCAATGGTGAAGGCGAATCCTGCAGAATGAGATCTGGTCTTTGCGATGAGGGAAATGGGGTGGAGGCTCGGTAATGGAAATTTTTCCTTCCTGGTTTTTTTTTTTCCCAAAGATGGAGTTGGTGCTGGTTTAGCCTGAAAATAATCCCCTTGGTTACTATGTGTTCGACTGTTGTGTATCTAAAAATGGAGAAGTGGCAGATTATTTCCCCGCCCCTGTTATGTGCCTTCCCATCGTTTAGGGGAAGGTCACTGCAGAAATAGTTGCACGAGTTATGACGGGTTTGACTAGGAGCTTTGGGTCTCACTTTTTACGTCGTCTACCTACTGTACCTGGAGAGGTCTCTACCCATCCCGAGAATGCAAAATGGCAGCAATTAAGCCCATTCGAATAGAGCCCATATGTAGGTTTACAAACGGTCAGTTTAGTTGAGGGTTTGCAGCTGTAATTTTCTGCTTCCCGTGGTGTCGAAGAGGTGTCTTACCGACATGGTCAAGTATCAGCTGAATAGTTCTTTGAAATCCTTTCCACAGTGGTTTCTGAGAAAACTATCGAATTTTATAAACATATGTAAAACTATAAATCGGATAGTGGGTTATTAAAAGGGGAAATTGCCCTTCAAGACAATCTTTTCCATAGGGAGTGAAATATAAATCAAAGCCCCCCACAGGCGCATGTGTTAAAAACGATGGTTCTCGAGAAGGTGAGGTCTTACTGCGGTTTGGACCTCCGAGCCTGTTCTATTGCTCTCCTTGTATTATTCGAAAACTACTTAAAATTTCGTATTGGAGATGCATTAGGACTTACAGGTGGAGAATATGCTATCCGTTCAAATAACATTTTACTTTCAATATACCAACACCGCCAGTCGTCGGAGGTGGAAACTCCAGACGCAAGGGAGGAAATGCCTTCCTCCTGGCCGAGATCGCGGCGGATCACGGAAGAGTCGGCATCCGTTGACTGCTTACCGTGTCACCTGTGCCGGCTCTGCTAGCCGTGGGCAAGACCGGGCGGACAGTGCTCAGCTGCGGTCCGTGCCTGCAGTGCCAGGACAAAGCTGCGGGCGCCGCTGTTGACCGAAGAGGAGCGAAAGACGGAGAGCTGGCGGCAGCCCCGCCCGCCGAGGACTGGCTCGCTCGCTCTCTAGTTCTCTCGGCGGGCCGCCGGTCTGCAAGGGTCCCCACACTACAGAGCCGTGCTGCTGCGAGGGTGAGAAGCCGGCGGCAATAAACGGCAGCGGAGACCAGGACCGGAAGCCAGTGCAGCAGGAGGAGGAGAAGGAGCTGGAACGGTGGTCGGCGGCGGGGAGCTGTCTGCGGCAGAGATGGGAGCGGCGGAGAGGCGCTGGAGCCTCAGGAAGAGAGCGCTGCTGTGGGGAGTCCTGATGGCAGCGTTGGACGCGGCGTGGGGACAGCTGCACTACTCGGTTCCCGAGGAGCTGCCCAAGGGCTCGTTCGTGGGAGACGTTGCCAAGGACCTGGGGCTGGAGATGCTGGCTCTCCGCGACCGCGGAGTTCGAGTCGTCTCTGAAGGTAGGACGAAGTATTTCGCCTTGCACGGGAAGACGGGCCATTTGGTGACAGCGGAGAGGATAGACAGGGAGCAGCTGTGCGAGAGTGTGCGGCAGTGCGTGCTGCGGTGTGAGGTGATATTAGACGGAGAAATGCAGGTTTACAGCGTCGAAGTGGAAATCACGGACATTAACGACAACGCTCCCAAGTTCGAGGAAATGGAGCTGGAGGAGAGAATGAGCGAGTCAACAGCTCCGGGGTCACGGTTTCCATTGGTCGAGGCTCACGACCCGGACGCGGGCCCGAATTCCCTGCAGCGCTACGAGCTGAGCGGCGATGAGCACTTCTCGCTGGCCGTGCAGGCGGGTCCCGGCGGGGATCACCGTCCCGAACTGGTGCTGGAGAAGGCGCTGGACCGGGAGGAGGCGGCGTTTCACGAGCTGGTGCTGAGGGCGAGAGATGGGGGAGAGCCAGCGCAGACGGGCACAGCGCGGATCCGCGTAACGGTGCTGGACGCTAACGACAATGCGCCCGTGTTCAGCCAGGAGGAGTACACGGCGCGTGTGGCCGAGGACGTTCCAGTGGGCTCTGTTCTTGTCACCATCACGGCCTCTGACGCCGACGAGGGGTTGAACGGAAACGTGAAATACTCATTGAAGAAAATCACAGCGAAAGCCTCGAGAGTTTTCGAGCTGGACGCTGAGACAGGTGCACTCACGTTGGTGCGACCGCTGGACTTCGAGGAAGGGGATTCCTACGAATTGCAGGTGCAGGCAAGGGACGGAGGAGAGCTTTTCGACGCCGCGAAAATCGTGATCACGGTGACAGACGTCAACGACAATGCCCCCGAGATTTCGGTGCGGTCAGCATTGACAGAGATCTCGGAGGATGCGCAGGCGGGGACAGTGGTGGCCCTGCTGCACGTGCAGGACAGGGACTCGGGGGCAAACGGCCAGGTGCGGTGCTCGCTGGACGAGGGTGTCCCCTTCCGACTGAGGAGCTCGCAGGGAAGCTACTACAGCGTCGTGACGGCGGGAGAGCTGGACCGCGAGAAGGTGTCGGAGTACAACCTGACCGTGCGGGCGGTGGACGGCGGGTCGCCGGCAATGCAGAGCAGCGCGGTGCTGGCGCTGCGGGTGCTGGACGTGAACGACAACGCACCCGTGTTCGCGGAGCCGCGCTACAGCGCCCGGCTGGCAGAGAACAACGCGGCGGGAGCGCTGGTGCTGACGGTGCGGGCAACGGACGCGGACTGGGGGCAGAACGCACGCGTGCGGTACCGGCTGTCGGAGGGGCGGGTGAGGGGCGCGCCGCTCTCGTCCTACGTGTCGGTGCAGGCGGAGACGGGCGCGCTGTACGCGCTGCGCTCGTTCGACTACGAGGAGGTGCGCGAGGTGCGGCTGTGGGTGTGGGCGGAGGACGGCGGCTTGCCGGCGCTGAGCAGCAACGCGTCGGTGGTGCTGGAGATCGTGGACGAGAACGACAACGCGCCGCAGGTGCTGTACCCGCCGGCGGCGGCGCCTTCGGCGGCGGTGTCGGGCTGGGCGGGCGTGGAGCTGGCGCCGCGGTCGGCGGAGCCCGGGGCGCTGGTGGCCAAGGTGGTGGCGGTGGACGCGGACGCGGGGCAGAACGCGTGGCTGTCGTACGAGCTGGCCAAGGCGACGGAGCCGGGGCTGTTCCGCGTGGGGCTGCACAGCGGCGAGGTGCGCACGGCGCGCTTCCCGCTGGCCCGCGACGCGGCGCGCCAGAGCCTGGTGGTGGTGGTGAAGGACCACGGGCGGCCGGCGCTGTCGGCCACGGCCACGCTCACGGTGGTGCTGGCCGAGAGCGTGGCCGAGCTGCTCTCGGAGCTGGGCAGCGCGGCGGCGGCGGTACCGGGCGAGCCGGCCGCCAGCCTCACGCGCTGGCTGGTGCTGGCCGTGGCGGCCGTGTCCTGCCTCTTCCTCGCCTTCCTGCTGCTGCTGCTGGCGTTCCGCCTGCGGCACTGGCGCCGCTCGCAGCTGCTGGCGACGTCGGGCAGCGCCTCCTCGCGCCGCGTCCCGGCCTCGCAGTTTGTGGGCATCGACGGCGTCCGCGCCTTCCTGCACTCCTACTCGCACGAGGTGTCTCTCACCGCTGACTCTCGCAAGAGCCATCTCCGCTTGTCCTCAGGCAGCTGCTGCGACACCCTCCCGGCCCGTCCGCCTCCCGACGAGCCCGCGCCGCTGCTCGGGCAGGACGTTGCGGACTCCCGCTGCTCTGACCTCGCCGCTCCCACGGTGAGTTTCTCACAGGAGCCTTTCTCCGTGCCTCTTCCCCATGTTGCCTCTGCCCTCTGACGGGTTCCGTGTTCCTCGGGGGGAGCTGTATGATCGAGAAAGGCTAAGTTGGTTGCCGCCCCGTGGTGGGGTGCTGCTGCCTCTTTCCTCGGGAGGGCACCTTGGGGTGTTTGCTCAGGTTTCTCGCTGGAGGCAGGAGAGGCGTTGTTGCCGCCAGCAGGACTTACGTTTGTTCTGGGACTTTCTTGCTTTGCCACATCTTTGTGTTCTACGCTGTTGTGACCCACTCTGTAGGTTAGCGCCTGGTTTTTAAACCTTTTCTGAGGTGGCATCAGACTACGTGTCTTCAACTTGTTAGAGATGTAAAGATGTGGGAACTGTGCCCAACCATAGTATCTTCCATTGTTTCATCTCATGGAATTTTTGCTAAAAGGTTATTCAGGTTGTATGGGGAGCCCTGGGAGGTTCTTCATGTGTATTTGCAGGTTGCGACAGAAATGCATCAGGGGTTGCTTTGGGAGAAGTCAGCTGATTATTCATTCCCTGAATTGCTCTAGAAACCATTATCAAGAATATATCATTTTGTTTTTCGAATTTTTTCTTGGTCATTGTACTCGCCTGAACATGGGCCACTGCTTTTATAGTATGTGGAAATTACTTCTGGTATATCTTTCTGTAGGTACCATATGTCCCTTTCATGTTTAGAGCTGTAAAGCTGTGTGAGATCTGTTACTGCTGCATTCCTGTCTGGCATATGCTTTTCATGTTCATCGCAGTAATCTTTCGTAGACTTTTTTTAAAATTTCATTTGAAGAAATGTGCTTAATTCTCACAAATGAGAAAAATATCCATGATGAGACATTCTCTGTGTAGCTTCTGTGGACTCTGCAGTTGATGAAAATCAGTAACAATGCAAGCTGAGAAAGGTTTGTGGAGAGTCTCAATGCTGTGTGTATGGTGTAGTGGTGGAGATTGACGTGGTTCCCAGGGCTTATCACTGGCTTTCAGAACATTATTCTGAAGGTGTGGGTTTTTTTATATTGCCTTGTGTTTCATTTTACCTCTTTTTTTATTGTCCAGAGTAATTGTCTGAAGGGAATGTGGCTATGGTCTGCGTTGTGAGGTCCTGTTGTCTTTTTGCCAAACAGATCTCCCTTTTACGTAGCTGCTACCAATGACATACTGAAATGTTAAGCTATGATTCCTTCACTTTTGCATCATAGTTTAACATTGGTTCCCCATTCTTGCCTTGTTTGTTGTCCAGGTATAAAGCTAGGCCTCATTGTCCCTTCTAACCCTTAAAACATCTCTTACATCTGTTGATCTGAGGCGTTTCCATCTATAAAAGTTTTCAGCTGCCAAGACTGATACACCCAATTTCTGTGTCATACGTTTTCAAGTCTGGCTGACAGGTGCACATAATGTCAATGGTGCAAATAAAGGCTATAAATGCAGAGCAAGGAGGGTGAGAGGCTGGCTTGAAATCAAGAAAATATGTGGGTCAACACAGCTTTCCTTGGGCAATGGCTGGATTTCCTACCTGGTGACAAGGCCTGTGCCATAATTTTTGTGGTCTTTTTTTTCCCTGTCCTGAAAGGCAATGGTAGAGCATCTACACCATAAATCAGCATGTAGAAGGATGATGCAGGTGTAGAATGCCTTATAAATCTTGTGGGAAACCTTTATCCAAGTTGTGTCTCCTTGTAACATTATCCAAGTTGTGTCTACTTGTAACATTACAGTGCAGTCGCAGAGCTCGACATTACACTGCAGAGTTCCTACACGGCTGTAGTTAACACTACTTTCAGGCCATTGTTTCTTCGAAGGTCGTGTTTCTTCCCCGTTTTGGTCAGTTTTAGCATTTGAGTGTGCTTGGTTTGCAACAAATACTACAGCCATCTAAGAATTGTAGGTGTGAGCAGAATGAAGCAGAAGGTAGAAGAGAATCGTATTACTGAATACTGAGCTGGGAAAAGACCATGAGAAGGCCTTTATTCTTGCTGCTTCATATTTTTGAAGGGATGATCAAGCCACAATAGAAAATTGCTGAGAGCTTGTAACAACTTGCTGTTTTGTAGTGCACTTTGTCATAGAGATAGAAATAACTTCCAGGTGCTTCCAGGGATGACTATCAATGCCTACTGTGAGAAGCAAGGAGAATTCCAGGTATGAATTGTTTTCTAATGCTTCTTTGCCTTGTCTGATTTATGGGTTTGCAACTATACATGATGGGGTCAGGAAAATGTGATGCTAGGTGCTTGAGATTTTTCCTTCCTAATTTCCTGAAACAATGGACTCTCGGTGACTGGTTAATGCTGTTTTGGTGTTGCACTCAAGGAAACCTGCATGAGGCTGATGGAGATTTTTCCACACTAATGAATGTTCATCCCATCAGCCTTGTGCCATCATGCCTTTTGGTGAAAGGCAACTGCAGAAACGGCAGCAATAGGGAAATGGCTCAGTTTTCTCTGAGGTTGATTTCCTTATTCTCTGTTTATTCAGTTTGTCTTCCATGCTGGGTAGCAGTTCTTCCTTACAGTTCATCTGTCTTTTCTACAGCTGTGTAGAATGGGATCTAAGCCAGCCTTCTAAGCTAAAACTATTGCCAAGGGCTGGTGACTTTCTTTTCTATCACTTCCTTCGCTTGCTTTATGCAATTTATGGTTTTGGTTTTCTCAGTGTACAGCTTTAGTTGTAATTACCAACATTTTGTTAGTGCAGAATGGCATACATGGCAGCCAGTGTTTCCAGTGAACACGTGCAGGGTGTCGCCCGTAACATGTTGGCAAGTCAGTTGGAGACATACGGGGTTAAGTGAATTGTTAGATGGTCTGAGTTACTCAGACCCTAACTTTAGGCCTTCTCCTTCAGTTAATCTTTATTCTAAGTCATAATCGAACCTGAGCAGAGTGAAAATCCACCCTGAGTGTAATACTACTTTGTCTTCTGTGGCAACAGAAATCCGTTTTCGGTGGGTGGCTGCCGTTGCTGCCATAATCACAAAAGCAGCCCCAGATCCTCTGGACCCCGGGAGCGCAGCCATTACCCAGCTGCGGTGGCGCCGCGAGGCCTCCGGGTGCCGCTGTTGGCCTACGCGAAGCGGCGGGGAAGGTAAAGCTGCAGCCGGAGCCGCTGCAGCGTCCTGCCCCCGCAGGCTGCTCGCTCACCCGCCGCCGGCCAGAAGGGCAGCGGCACGGGCAACATAGGCGAGAGGCGGAGGGGGAAGCAGCGGCGTCAGAGCCGGAGCCGATCTCTCTGCCCATCTGCAGCCCCTGCGCTCTCTGTAGAGAGGGGCTGGAAGAGACGGAAGGCAGCGGCCGGAGGGAAGAGCGCGGCGAGAGCTGCCGATAATGGAGAGCAGGCAGAGGCAGGGGCAGAGCCGGCGGCCAGCAGCCGGGCGAGTGTTGCTGCCCTCTCTGCTGCTGTGCTGGTGCTGCCGGGCGGCGCCGGAGCGGCTCCACTATGCCATCCCTGAGGAGCTGGACAGAGGCTCCCTGGTAGGGCCGCTGGCACGGGACCTCGGGCTGAGCCCGGCAGAATTACCGGCACGGAAGCTGCGGCTGAGCGCCGCGAAGCAATACTTTACCGTGAGTGGGGAGAACGGGAACCTGTACGTGAGCGAGAGACTGGACCGGGAGGAGATGTGCGGCGAGTCGGCGTCCTGCTCTGTCAGCTTCGAGGCGCTAGTGCATAACCCACTTAACGTTTTCCACGTTGAAGTGGCCATCCAGGATGTAAATGATAACTCCCCGAGGTTTCCACAAGACAGTTTCCACCTGGAGATAAATGAGTTCACTTCAGTCGGCGCCCGCTTTGCCTTGGGTATGGCAGAAGACGCAGACGTGGGCAGTAACTCGCTGCAGGGCTATGAGCTGGAAGCCAACGAGTATTTCGCGGTGGAGGTGAAGGAGAGCCCGGACGGCAGCAAGTTCGCGGAGCTGGTGCTGCGCCAGGCGCTGGATCGGGAGAGAGAACAGAGCCTGCAGTTGGTGCTGACGGCGGTGGACGGCGGGGACCCGCCCCGGAGCGGCACCGCCCAGCTCTGCATCAACGTCACCGATGCCAACGACAACGCCCCCGTGTTCGCGCAGGAGCGGTATCGAGTGAGCGTGCGGGAGGATGCACTGCCGGGATCGACAGTGGTGAACGTGTCCGCCTCTGATGCCGACGCTGGCATCAACGCCCACATCACGTACGGCTTTGGGAAAATGCCGCCTAAGGTGCTTCAGAAGTTCATGGTGGATGCGGAGAGCGGAAAGATCACGCTGCAAGAAGCGCTGGACTTCGATGACACGCGTGGCTACACGCTGCTGGTGGAGGCAAGGGACGGGGGCGGCCTGTTAACGCACTGCAAGGTGGAGGTGGAGGTGCTGGACGTGAACGACAACACGCCCGAAATCACTGTGCTGTCTGTGTCGAGCCAAGTACCCGAGGACTCACCGGCCGGAACGGTGGTGGCCCTGCTGAACGTGAAAGATCCAGACTCTGGGGAGAACGGTCAGGTGTGGTGCGAGCTGTCGGGCGAGGCGCCGCTGTCGCTCGTGGCGTCGTCGGGCGGGTCGTACAAGGTGGTGACGACGAGAGCGCTGGACCGGGAGCAGAAGTCCGAGCACCGGGTGACGGTGGTGGCGAGGGACCGGGGCAGCCCGGCGCTCTCGAGCAGCACGGTGCTGGTGCTGGAGGTGTCGGACGTGAACGACAACGCGCCGGTGTTCGAGGAGGCCGCCTACAGCGCCTACGTGGCGGAGAACAACGCGGCGGGCGAGCTGGTGCTGCACGTGAGGGCGCGGGACGCGGACGCTGGCAGCAACGGGCGCGTGAGGTACTCGTTGGAGGGCGGCAGCGCGGGCGCGGCGCCGTACGTGTCGGTGGAGGCGCAGAGCGGAGCAATGTACGCGCAGCGCTCCTTCGACTACGAGCAGTGCCGCGAGTTCGCGGTGGTGGTGCGGGCGCAGGATGGCGGGGAACCGGCGCGGAGCTCGACAGCGACGGTGCGCGTC